CATAGGAAATAGGTTCATAGGAAGATTATTTGAAGCCAAATTCCAGTATGTTGTCTATCTTTTTATCTCTCTGCAAAGACTGTATGAAAGGAATTAAGAATTGTAACATCGAGAATTGTACTTATAATTTTTTTTATGAATAAAGTATATTTTTGCAATTAAAAAGAAATTCCTGACCAATCAGTCAAACCTGGTTTAAAATGTAGCAAAGCCTGGCTGCTAACTGAAAATCAGCATTAACGGGTACATTCTCCAAGGAAATGTCACTACCAATCTGAATCCATTTGCCAACCAATCAGCACTCTTCTCTCATGCTGTTTATATGTTGTTTTTTTTCCTTGATGTTGCATTCTTGTAAAATGTCCTGAGGGGTGCAAGCCAGACTACTTCGAAAAAGTGTCTTTATTTTCAACTATTACTGCTTTCTACCTTGTTGAACTGGATATGTGCTGCCCAACACAGACATCAAAACACTTCTCTTTTTTCGCAAGTACTGTTTGGTTCTTTTCGTGGGCTACTTGTACTTTTTCCTTTCTCATTCTTGTTAACTTCTTTTATTGTATAATACAGTCATGTAGCATCATTACCTTGTATATTTACGTTGATTTTGTTTAAGGTTGCCTCCTTTTAGAAGGCTAAGATAGTACGTATATACATATATCTTATCTCACAAAAGGTTCCATTCCTGTATCATGTTGCTGACCTGTGTTGATTCCCATAGAAGCGACATCTTGGGTTTAATATCCTTCCACAGACTCAACCCCTACTCTGCAATCTTTTGGAGGAAAATCCCAATGATCACTATTTGAATGAAAGGAACTCCCTCAGTGGTTAGCTAGGTTGATCCTAGGTATGGTGAATATTTTTCATGATGCGGGATAAGTTGGGCTCATACTCATCAGAGTTTAGAAGAATTGAGAGGAGACCTTACTAAAGTACATAAAATTCTTAGAGGGCTTGATAAGGTAGATGTGGAGAGGTTGTTTTCCCCTTGTGTGGGAATCTAGGATCAGAAGACACAATATCAATGTAAGGAGTCAACCATTTGAGTCAGAATTGAGGATATTTTTCTTTCAGAAGGTAGTCTAATCTGGAATTCTTTACCACAGAGTGCTTTTGAGGCTGGGTCATTATATTCAAGGCTGAGATGGATAGATGTTTCTCATCAGTAAGGGAAATGAGGGTTATGAGGAAGGTGGAATTGAAGATTATCAGATCTCATCGAATGACACAGCAGATTTAATGCGTGGTGTGGCCGACGTCTGCTCCTATGAGTTATAGTCTTACAGCCCCTTTGTTTCCAAATCAGAAGTTTAGAGGTTCAAGCTCCATGACAGGATTTTGACATATGATCTAAGCTGACATTTAGTGCACTGCTGATGGAGGGTTGTGTTGCTGAAGTGTTGTTTATTTTGGATAAGACATTAAAGTGGAGGTTTCATTTGCATGTTCAGGTGCTTCTAATGTTCCCATAGCAAAGGAGCAGAGGAGTTCTCCGTGCTTTTTGGCC